TATAGAGATGCTGCCTCCTGCAACCCTTAGGGCAAGATGGAGTCCAGCCGTGGCTGGGGCTGGGTGTGGTCAAAATCCCTGAGTTGAAGACTAGTGACGCCCAGGTTCTACTGTTTATGTCCTTTTGGATTTCCGGTATTCATCAATAAGATGAAGATATAGCATTTGTCTTCTTTTACCTCCAAGGTTCTATGATAACGTGCTTCTACTCTGTTTTGCATTGCTCCCCCCCCCCATGCTCCCTTACAACCACATTTAGTAATGGTGTACAGCACACAGTACTTGGTGCTGGGGAGAGAGGAGCATCCCTGGTTACAACACCTGTCATCTGGCTGTGGAGACAGGAGCACCAATGATGACAGCTATTCCATGGAATTGCCCAGGGTTGGATGGCACTCAGGTCAAACAGAGAACAGACTGTGAGCAGCCTGGTGGACCCACAGAGCTTCCGGGGCAAAGTGCTCCTCATCTGGGCTGAGATGGGAAGAGCCAGGCAAGGCCATCCCAGGACCTGAATAGGAGGATATGACAGGAGCTGTAATTGGGAGATGATGGAGTATGTTGGGGTGCTGTGGAGAGAGGTAACCACAAGCCAGATTTTGAGTGCCTTTGCCAAGAAATTTTTAGGTAAATCCAAAAGTGAATTATTTTTACATAAAGGAGTACTGTCCAAATTTCAATTTCAGAAAAATTGGTTTGGGTTCTAGGTGGTAGATGAATCAAAAGAAGCAAATTAAGCCATAAAATTGTTGAAGTCCTCCCAGTGAGAAATAGTAAGTCCTGAACTCACATGGTTCAATACTGGGACTCATTAAAATGGCACTGGTAGGACTATGTTGGTGCAAGCTGTTTGCATTCTATGGTGGGAAAGATGTGGAGCTTTCAGGGTAGAGAAAAGTGTCCAGATATGGGACATAAACTGCCCTGTTCGGTGGAAGACTACAGACAGGACCACAGTGAAAGCTGTGTCCAACCCTCTTCCTCATCAAGGCCCAATGGAGTTGGAGGTTACTGTGGGCCACTAAGGGCCTACAAGGATTCCAAATGGCTGAAAAGACTCATGGTTTATGAAGGCTAAGCAGCAGGGGGACATTTGCAAAGAGGGCTTGTAAGATGTGGGCATGGGTGTTCATAGAAAGGGAGAGAAAACACGCTACCTGGTTTATAGGGTTCTGCAAGGGTCATGATTCCAGACCGTCTTGTTTTTTTTTTTTTTCTCATTGAGTTATTGGTACTTTTTAGGTATACAGTATAGCTACATTTATCATTGAGGTCTTGCACCTTTACATGACAGGTCTTGGTTCTCATTTTTTCCCCATACCCCTGCCCTCTCTTCACCCCCCTCTTCCCTTCAGACCAGTCTCGTTTTAGTCTTGTAACAAACTCTTGCAGAGAGTTGAAAGACACTGAAAGTTACCAGCCTTCTGGAACCTGAGGCTCAGAGAGCTGAAGTGACTTGTCAGGGACAAGCTGCAGGTTAGTGACAGGTGGCCTAGGACTCAGGGCTCCAGATTCCCACTCTCAGGTGTGACGTGTGCCTGATGTGTGTGTCTGGGAAGACCTTCACCATGGGCTGCAAGCTTCTGAGGGGAGACTTGGGCTGACACTCAAGGCCTGTGGCAATTGAAAGTTACCCAGGGTGGCCAAAGGAAGGCCCACTTCTTTCTGATGTGCTGAATACCACAGGCCAAACCCTGGGGGTTCTCGTGCTGTGCTGGGCTTGCTGAGCACTGTCTAGTTGTCTTTCCAGAACTTTCTGCCCCACACTAACTTCTCTGCAGTCCCCCACCAAGGCCTGTGCCACCCTCCCCCAAGCCCAGGTGACTGCCCAGAGCTTCCTGGCTCTCCGTGGACATGGTGCTTCAGCCCCTGCCTCCTGAGTTCTGATTCTTGGGCTTTGGGTATTTGAGGGCACTGTCCTGACAGACTCACCCCTGTTTTCATGAGTGCTGTGGAAGGAGCTGTGCTGACATGGTTGCCATCAGCGTATTAGAGTGTCTGTGAAGTTTAAAATCTGTCTCCTATTCTCTGTACTTACATACACATTATACCTCCTCATCTTTGGTGGATACCTTCCAAGACGCCCATGGATAATACTGAACCCTGTATTTACTGTTTCTCCTATACATACCCATCTATGATAAAATACAATTTATAAATGAGGTACAATAGGAGATTAGCATTAATAATAAAATAGAATGGTTATGACACATTATAGATGTTATGTGAATGCTCTTCTCTGATATTGGGGATTGAATTCAAGGCCTTTGCACTGAGCTACATCTTCAGTGTGCCTCTATTCTCCTTTTAAAAAAAATTTTTTTTTTTTTTTTTTTGTTCTGAGGATTGAGCTCAGGACCCTTGCGCTTGTGGGGCAGGCACAGTACCACTGAGCTAAATCCCTGGCCCCTCTTTTTTACATTTTTGAGACAGGATTGTTTGCAGGCTGGGCTTGAACTTTTGATCCTCCGGCCTCAATCTTGCATGGTGCTAGGATTGCGGACATGGGTCACCTTACCTAGCTGTGTCTCAGTATTTTTGCATTTTTGAACTTCTGTTTATTTAGCTGGGTTTAGACAGGATTGTGTCTGGGCATGTGAGTGCACTGGTATTTCCCGTGTCCTGTCAGTCATATATTTAAAGTGAAAACACCATTGCTGCTACTGAAACCCATTTCCCAGGCAGGGAAATTGGCTCATCCTGAGGGATTTGTTTGTGACAATGTTGGGCCATAGGAGTGACCTCTCAGAGTCCACTGTTTGTTTAATTAGTTCTGTGTAGATTGAACACCTGCTTATCAGAGTTGGGCAGGGCATGGTTTCTGCCTCACTGAAGCTTGCTTTCCGGGAAGACAGAAATGACCTTGGCTGTGTAGTACTGGCCACAGATGGCTATGAATGAGAAACTGAAATTTTTTTTCCTTTTTTAAAAAATTGAGTTTATTGGTACGTTTTAGGGTATACAGTACAGTTACATTCATTATTGGGATCTTGTACCTTTACATGACAGGTCTTGGTTCTCATTTTTTTCCCCTTGTCCCTGCCCTCCCTTCACCTCCTCCTCCCCTCCCCATTTACAAACACTTTATTTCCATTGAGAAACTTAATTTTAAGTTTAGTTTATTTGAATTTAAATAAGTTCATGTAGCTTTAGAAGCCAAAACCCTGAAATCAAAGGGTAGTTGAAGGTTGCCTTGGCTGTAGGCAGCAACTGAGTAAATCACTGTCTCTTTAGAGATGACAAGGTCACCAAGAAAACACCTGGCTGGAACAGGGTCCCACAACTTGGTCCTGGCTCCAGCACATACTGGCTGTGTGACCTTGAATAAATGACCTAACTTCTCTGAGCCATGGTCTTCTTAGCTGAAGGGTGATGTAGGTGATATGTGCTGAGTGCTGGGCACAGTTGGTCCCCAGCAGGTGGTGGCCCAAGGGTGCAGACCCAGCTGCCCTCATCTGTCGGTTGCTGACATGGCTGGCAGGGGGATGTGCAAGGAAAGCAGAACCAAAGTCAGGTGAGGCCTCAGCTCCTGGTGAAGACACTCTCCTACCTCATTGGTGACAGTGGATGTGTGGGCACCACCCACTTCCCTTCCTGGGACAGCACTGTGATTTGGGGACAAGTAGGGAGACTTAGACAGGTCCCTGAGCCCCTTCTCCCTGGTCTGTGGACTTGTGCCTCACCCCAGCTGTCAAGTCCCTGCTGACACTGAAGCCCCTTTGTCACCGCCTGGTCTGGTCCTCACCACCTGCTCCTCTCTGTGCAGCTCCCAGTTGTCAAGGCAGCTGGGCCTTCTTTTTGAGGGCTTCTCATCCCAATTGCAATTTGGCCCAGTGAGGAAAGGTGGGGAAAAGTGGGAGGTGACTTGAATGACCTGAGACTCTTGTGGGAGGCAGGGTCTGGTCCTGTGATAGATGAGGCTGTCTTCAGATACGGGAGTGCAGAAGGCGCACCAGCCTGATCACTTCTGGGTTCTGCAGGGCAGCCTGCTTCCTGGGTGTCTCTCCTGCCCACTGTGTGATGTGTCAGGGTGGGGTTGAAGGGCAGGCAGGGTGCCTGAGCAAGAGGCAGAATGGGAGGGAAAGTGGCATGAAGGACCGCAGAGGGCATCCACAGAGAGGGACTGGCTTGGCTTGGCATTCCCAGGGTGTGGCCTGAAGACTCATCCCACCTGAGGACACAGATGGAAGTGGGTCCCTAGAAGCATGGCTGCACCCCTATGCCTGTCCTCTGTGTGTCCCCTCTCATTTATCACTTCGTCCCTTTGGGTCCTGCTCCTACATAGGTGTGCTCTCCTTCATGCCTTGGACAAGGTAGGCCACCAGGCATTACTAGAGAACACTTTGAGGTCCTGTCAGCTCTTGGAAGCCAGAGTGGATAAGGCAAGACTCTCTTAGGTTTAGTTTAGGTACCCCTAGGTGTTGCATAGGCTTTGCTCTGACTCTCTGACCTCGTCCCAGATTTGTGGCCCCAGCTTTGAGTACCTGAGTCTCCTAATGTTGAGGTGGCACCTTTCTGTGGTCCTCTGAGCCTCTTTAGGTGGATGCTAATTCTGCATGTTGGGAGGTGGCCAATAGCATAGGATGCAAAAGCTCACACTGGGAACCGCACCTGCCTCACAAGTGCAAGGGCATGAGTTCAATCCCTGGTACCAGGGAGAGAGAGAAAAAAAAAAAAAAAAGATTGCAACGGGGCTGGAGGTGGTCAAGGAGCAGCTGCGGGTGCTGCCTGATCCCTTCCATCCCCCTGCTGAGCCTGGCATGTTGGGCCTCACCTCCCTCTTCCTGCTGCCCCTCTGCACCCTATGTCCATGAGAAAGCACAGTAGGGGTACTGGGCACCCCTGCTGGGGAAACAATTGAAATCAGTCCCTTGCCAACCTAGAAATGTTCTCTACAAAAGGAGAGAAAGAAAATTGGTTTATTTTATGAAATTGTGTAAGTATTACCAGAATGTGATGTCACGTTGGGCAGTCTGCAACCAGAGGCGACCCGCACCTGGGTGATCACCAGGCAGAGGCCACCCTGGCACACCTGTTCTCAAGATAAACCATAGCTGTTCCTCCAGCAAGAGGACATCACAGCGCTAACCCGAACTCACCTGGGAACTGGGTGACCATCTGTTAGGCAACTGCCCTTATCCAAAAGAAAAATAAACTCCATTTTTTCCCCCCGAACTTAGGACCTTGTGGTTGCAAGATAGGCAGCAGAACCACTGAGCTAAATCCCCGGCCCGTAAACTCCTATTTTTATGACAGGAGGTAAGTTTGCAAGTTGGAGCCAGGTTCCTGCCTCAGGCTTCTGCCCTCTTGAGAGATGGCCTGGTTTCCTGTGTGTTTGCGTCTCAAAACAGTGGCTCTCAGGTGGTCCTGGAAGACATTCCTGCCTTGTAAAGCTGGCCGAGGCTTTACAGAAGATTTTTATATGGCTCAAAAGGATGGAGTCAGACTTAACAATTAAAAGTTTCTAAAGAAACTTTTCTAAAGAAAGTACTCTGAAAAATAGGAGGGCATTCCTTTACCTCTTTGCCCCCATGAAAATTATTTTACTTTAGATTCTTACACCTCTCTTTTGCTTCTTGTCAGGGTCTAGTTTTTTTCTTGTTGATGTTTTTTGCATACTGGGGATTGAACCCAGGGTCTTCATACTAAGCTATAGCCCCAGCCCTTTAAAAAAAAAAAGTTTTGAAACAATCTTTCAAAGTCCCTAAGTTGCCCAACCTGGCGCTCAAATTCATGATTCTCCTGCTCCATGCTGGGGTTATGTGTGTGCACCACCAATGCTGCTCAGGGCCCAGCTTTCCCATTTGGGTAGGTTTCCCTAGAGGATTCAGGAAGGGGATCTGGGGGAGGGAGGAAGGGGAGCATGGGTGTCTGTGAGGAAACCCACTGTCCCCACTGTGCCGTTAGGAGTGATGGCAACATCAAGGTAGTAGGCACAGTGAGCCCGTCTTTGGGCTGCAGCTCAAAGCCAGGCAGCACGTGTATTATGCCACATGCATTTGTTAAGTGCCCTCACTTGCATGCCGAGCTTTGTCCTAGGCATTGGGGTTCATTGCCAAATATGAACAGTGCTGCGCTCTGATGGCAGGGATCATGCAAACAAGTGAAGGGCATTTCAGAGGTCAGAGGGACTAGGTGGGTGGAGTAAGGCCTGTAATCATGTATCAAGGGGCTGGGGGTAGCCACTCTAGGAAGGTAACATCACCTATCCGCCTGCCTTCCAAGCATGAAGAGAATCAATCAGGAAATGTTCAGAAGCTTGGCCATAAAATAAATGCTGATTGTTCAGTCAGTCAAGTAGGGACTGGTGAACTGCCGTGTTCTGGTCCTGGGGTGGCGGTGACACACCCTGGAAGGGCTTGCACTGGAACATGGGTGGGGACTTTCAAAAGGGCCACTGGCTTAGAAAACTCAAGGGCAGCTCAGCTTTCCAGTGGTGCTTGATTGTCTGTTTCTTTGGCTCTGCCAGGGATGAAATCCATGGCCTTGCATGTGCCTGGCAAGCGTTCTACTGAGCCACACCCTAGCCCTTCCTGGAGGTCCCTGGCTCTCAGATGTCCTGTTTTTCTCACACCAATATGTTGATGTTGAATATGTGGGGTGTGAGCTCTATCCTGAGAGTTTGGAACCTGGGTTTTTTGCTTTCCTGCCACTTTTGTGACTCTGGGCTTGTCCAGGGTCCTCCCTAGCCTATTTCTTCACATAATAGGAATTAGGCTGTTTTTACCTTTCCAGCAGGTATGTGTGCAATTAAAGAGACTCCCCACACATCTGAACTGATAGAAAAGCTTGTGGAAAAAAGATGACGTGTTCTACAGTGGAGAGAGGGCCTAGGGAACCTGTTATCATCCTCGTACTATATTCCAATTCTCTTTCTTCACTTCTGTCTCACCCCTAGATGGCAGGGCAGGGATCCAGCCAGTGCTGACGCCGCTGTGGCAGACCTTCAGGGATGGAGAGCAGCAGGCCTGGTGACAGCACAGGTAAGAGAAAGGGAAGGGGCCTCTTCTCCTTCCAGGCCCACCTGGCCTTGTCCCCCCAGAGCTGAGACTAAGCTGCTGGCTTTGCCCAGTGGCTTCTAGAATGTACAGTTTCAGGGTGGGGACCAGGACTTTTGAAGGTCACCCAAAGTACAGAAGAAGGACAGAAGCCTCAGGGGAAAAAAAAAAATGGCAAAGCCCAATCACACATATGTCAGGAAGGGTAGAAATCGAGGTGTATTTTAAGGTCTAGAGTGAGGACTTAAGGGGGGGTTCTGTTAATTCAACACAGCAAACTAGCACCCTGGGTAGGAAAGTAGGTTAAAGCAAGCTGTTTGTTGGTCAGCAAAATGTTTTCAGGCCTTTAGAGCTTCCTGGGGTCACCCACAGTTCAGGGTCTTTACTGGCTTGAAGCCTGTGTCTCCCAGGCAAGTGTTCCTGGAATGGAAAATTTTCCAGTCTGGTCATGTGCTCTTGGTCTGAGCCCTCTGCCAGCAGCCTTGGTCCCTGTGAGCTGCTCTCCTTGTTCTTTCTACAGCCCCTATCCCTGTGTCCTTGGGTCTAAGAACAGGCCCAGCCCACCTCACCGTCCTGCCCTTCAGCAAAGGTTGACTCTGGAAGTTGCCCCATGGATCCTAGAGTCCCTGCTCCATTGCTCTTTGGGGAAAGCCACCTGCTCTCCCAGGAAAATCATTGCAGTAGCCCTAAGACTGAGACAAAAATCAGGCAGTAACTGGGGAAAAAATGTTCCTGGCAAGCTCCAAGGGCAGCAGTGTGATGTGTGGAACATCCATTCCAGGCTGGGGCCTGACACCAATGCTCTGGTGGTGGCATGGCTGGGCTGTCACAGCTTGGCCTCATTTTGGAACCCCAGCTTCTACAGGATACAGACATTGTAGTAATTACCAGAAATCCTAGAGCATGCATGCCAAATGCTTCTGCAGCAGGACCCTTTCCCTAGGTAGCTGGGGGCAGCTCTGCTTGAAATAAGACACAGAGGCCATCAGAGCCCTTCTGTCCTCTCTAGGGAAGCTCCTGAGACAAGCCTTTGGTTTTAGGGAAAAGTTTGAGAAACCCTGGCCTGAATCCTAGATTACTAGGGTACTTAGAGGCTCAGGGGCCAGCACTGGGCAGCAGCTATGTTCTTGCAGCCCCTTAAGCTGTTTACCTGGCTGGATTTATGGAGTGGCTCATTCTCGAGGGCCGTGTTTGTCAGATAATTGAGAACGTATCTATTTTATTTATATAGTTTTGGTGGTGCTGGGTAAAACCCAGGGCCTCCAGCATGCTAGGCAAGAGTTCATCTACTGAGCTACATCCTCAGCCTCTCTCTCTCTCTTTTTTTTTTTTTTGGTACTGGGGATTGAACTCAGGACCTTGCGCTGCCTCTTGTTTAATTTATTATATGTTTATATATTATATGTACTACATGTATTATATATATTATTTATATACTTATTCATATTTATGTATTTATATATTTTATGTGTTTTTTTAGGATCATGGCAAACTTTATATAACAAAGTTCACCATGTTGACTGTTTTCAAATGTACAGTTCTTTAGCATTAAGCACATGAACAATGCTGTGAAATACCACCATCTATTTTCAGATCTTCTTTTATCACCCCAAGAGCTCCAAACCCATTGAGTAATAATCCCCATTTAGCACCTTCTTATTTTACCCAAACCATTTAAATTTAAAACATCAGCCAGGTGTGGTGGTGCACATTTTTAATCTCAGCACCTTGGGAGGATCACAATTTTGAGCCCAGAGGCCAGGGATTTAGCTCAGTGGCACTGCACCCACCTCGCAAGTGCAAGGTCCTGAGTTTGTTACCCAGTACTAAAACAAAACAAGTTTGAGCCCAGCCTGGGCAATTTAGCAACTTAGGAAGACCTGTGTCAACATGAAAAGTAATGAAAAGGGTTGGGATGGAGGTCAGTGTGAAGGCCTTGTGGTTCAATCCCCAGTACCACAATCAATCAATGAAATGAAAGATAAAACATTGTTTTTTTATGATTGAGGAGCATTCCTTGTGAGCCAGAAGCTGAGTATCAATAACTGATACATAGGGGACTGTACTCTGGGACAGGCCTGGGTTCAAGTACACCCTAGTTTCGGGACCTGCAGGGATCTGTGCTGGGCTTGTATATGCCCCGAGTCCTTTGCAGGTGGACATAAAAAGACTTTGTCTTGGTATCCTCAGGCTTTTGGGCACAGGGACATCTTTTGATCTGGAGGAAGCAGGCTCTGGTCAATATTAAGGCCAAGTTTAGCCAGGCAAAGCAGAGATGAGGGGAGCTCTGGGACATTGATAGCTATGGGGTCACTTGGGGACATGGTCCCCTCCTGTTTGAGTATATCTTGTATTTACTGCCAATTTATTTGTTTGTTTGATTTTGTTTTTTGAGACAGGGTCTCACTATATAGTTGAGACTGACCTGGAACATCACTGTGTGTCCCAGGCTGGTCTTGAACTCAGCATGCTCCTACCTTAGCCTCTCCCGAGTGCTGGGATTACAGGCATGCGCCATCACGCTCAGCTTCAGACTACCAATTTGGACACCTAGTGCCTTAGTACTCCTGTTGGTCAACTGTTGGGTGCAGCTAAAAGAAACATTCTTATAATCGGTTACACTCATTACACTGAGGTATCTAGTTCCTGCTAATATGTAATTTAAGCTGCCATTTTGTTTTCAAATTATGAGTCTTATTTTTTCAAATTATGACTCTTAATAAAATGATTGTTCATGACCAAGCCCTAGAGGAGGCAGATGGAGTTGTTTGGCCAGGAGGAAACCAGGTCCCTTAAGGCTTCTCCCATGGTCCCCTCCCCCATAGTGGCCCCTGAGACCATCCATGGAAGGGGTGGCTCCTTTGGACCTAGAATTAAAGATCACCAGACTAGAAGTGAGGGTCCCCCTCCCTTATTTCTTTATAAATTAAAAAAATTAAAAAATCATTAATTCTTGAATATTTCCACACAAACTGAAACAACACAGAAAGTGAAGTTCCCCTTTGACCTCTCAAGGTTCATAAGCAGCTAGAGACATCAAGTTTTACTTTTCATAAATCAGATCAGATGATTCATACTGGTTTGTTTTTTTCTTTTTTTTTGCTCTCCCTCACTTCCCACTGGGGATCAAACTCAGGACATTGAGCTTGCCAGACAGGTGTGGCACCACTGAGCTACATCCCCAGCCCTGCTTTTTGGTTTCTCCTAAAATGTTCTGGAAGTCTTTTGACATTGGCATAAATAGTTCTTTCTCAATCTTTTCAGTTGCTACACAGTATTTTATATTATGAAGGAGATGCTACCAGATATACCTTGAGATATCTTTGTTCTCCCCTTCTCCCCTTAGGTAGTTTCCATGCATATTGTGAGGTAGGGAGAGTGTCTAGTTTTCTCACTCTCCTTGGTAAAAAGATGCTACACTCTTTATTTTGCATTTTGCTGACTAGTGAGGTTCAATCTCTTCATCATATCTCCATGAGTCTTTCATATATTCTAGATACGTCTTTTTTTTTATATTGGCACAAAGTTTTCCTAAATCTGTGCTATCCAGTGTGTATCTGCTAGCCCATATGTCTGTTTAAATTTAAATTTAGATTTAAATTAACTTCAGTAAAATAAAATTCCTAGATGCTGGGAATATCTTCTTGAATTCTTTTTTTTTTTTCTTGAATTCGTAATAGAATCTGTTTATATAGTCATGTGGCTTATTGCCCATTTTGTGGTGGAACTTTGGCTTTCTTTTCACTCTCTTCTTTTTTTTTTCCACTCCAGTACTGGGGATCAAACTAGGACCTTGCACTTGAGAGGCAGATGCAGTATACTGAACTAAATCCTGGGCCCAACCCTCTTCTGATTGTTTATTATAAAGTCAGGTTTTCTACCTACTTTTAAGTCAGTTTTAATTCTGTTTTCTTGCAAAAATGGTGTATCATATAGATTTTCAAATATATTGATATAAAGTCTGTACATAACATTTTAAGATTTTTCAGAATCCTTTTAGTACCTATGAGTTCCCTTTATAATCTGTGTTTTTATCTTTATCAATACCTCCATCTACTTTGGGTTTGTTTTATTGTCTTCCTAATATTAAAATCTGTTACTTAAGAGATTTTTCTCAACTGTATTGTTCCACTGCCTTTTTATTCAGTGTAAGCTTTTATTTTGTTTTGTTTTGAGACAGTGTCTCTCCATGTAGTTCAGATCGGCCTTGACCTCACTATGTAGTCCAGGCCTTGAACTCATAGTAATCCTGCCTCAGCTTCTGGAGTGCTGGGATTACAGAGATGTCTGCCACCACTCCTGGCTGAATGTGAACTTTTTATTGAAATATAACACACACACACACACTCACACACACACACACACAGACAAGTGTATTGATTGTAAGCTCTGTAAATTCTTATTGAGTGCATCCATGTAACTAGCATTCACACCAGGGGACAGCATTGCCCATACCCCAGAACCCATGCCCTTAACATGGCCATCACCCTGACTTCTAACTCATGGATTAGTTTTCCAGTTTTTACTCTTTATATAAGCAGAATCATATGGTTTATATTCTTTAGGGTCTAAAGAAGATGTTTTCTTTATGGCTCACTATGTCCCTGAGCTAGGCAGGCAAAGCACCTCTGTAGACTTGTGCACTGCAGGTGTGAGAGTTGGATCCGAGCAGTGTGTGGTATACTCTCGGGAGTAAAGTGGATTATGTTTAACACAAGGGCAGCATAACACCTTAGTGTTGGGTACTAAAGCCTCAGTTCTGTTGCTTTTGTTGAATAAAGGGTGGTTGGCAAACAGTAGAGGGCCTAGCAGTTCTATGCACCATGGCTACCACCCTAACTACTGAGGGACTAGGGGTGCCCTCTGTTTTGAGGCTTGGCCATTTTATCCTTGCTGCCTGGGGACTCCCAGGAGACTTCCTGTGGCTCTTTTCCTTAAAGTTCTCTGGTTGGGGGACCTGTCCTTGTTCATGTCCTTGGCACCTGAGCCAGCCACGTATCCTTCCTGAATTTTTCGCTTTGCTCCCCACACCTCCGCCTGCCTCTTTCTTCCTTCTCCTACTCCCTTTCTTTCCAATTCTTCCCCCATCTAACAACTCTACCTTCCCTCCAGAGCCCCTCTCCCCTTCCTTCTCCCCATCAGCAGCTGCCGACCTCGCCCCATCTTCTCCTTTTGCCCCCGGCAGGAGATGGGCTGGTGATGAAGATCAAGCAAGAGAAGCCAGAGCGGCTGCTGCAGACACTGGTGGGACAGGCCACACTCCCAGAGAAAGACAAGGAGAACATCTGCCACCAGCAACAGGGCCTCCAGTCATGCCAGACCATGGGCCGGCCATGGGCTCTGGGGGCACAGGAGGAGCCCGGGCGTCCAGGGTGGGCCCCTCCCCCTGATCCCGATGCGAGGCTGGCCGGCCGGGCCCCAGGGTCAGCCATGGGCCCACTGAGCCCGGCACTTTCTGTGGGCGAGGGTCACTTTGTATGCGTGGACTGCGGGAAGAGGTTCAGTTGGTGGTCGTCCCTGAAAATCCACCAGCGCACCCACACCGGGGAGAAGCCCTACCTGTGTGGCAAGTGCGGCAAAAGCTTCAGTCAGAAGCCCAATCTGGCACGCCACCAGCGGCACCACACGGGCGAGCGGCCCTTCTGCTGCTCAGAGTGCACCCGGCGCTTCAGTCAGAAGCAGCACTTGCTCAAGCACCAGAAGACCCATTCCCAGCCCGCCACCCACTCATGTCCCGAGTGTGAGCGCTGCTTCCGCCACCAGGTGGGCCTGCGCATCCATCAGCGAGCGCATGCCCGGGACCGCCAGGGTGCGCGCACTGGCCTGCAGGAGGCGCTTCGGGACACAGCTCAGAGTGCACCCGGCGCTTCAGTCAGAAGCAGCACTTGCTCAAGCACCAGAAGACCCATTCCCAGCCCGCCACCCACTCATGTCCCGAGTGTGAGCGCTGCTTCCGCCACCAGGTGGGCCTGCGCATCCATCAGCGAGCGCATGCCCGGGACCGCCAGGGTGCGCGCACTGGCCTGCAGGAGGCGCTTCGGGACACAGAGGG